AAGTCAGGCTGGGCTTTCTGGATGCCAGTTTCTGTTTGTTGTAATCCCTAAGAGCCCTAACTCCGGGCCTGAGCCCCTGCTTCGTCTCTCTGCTGCATCACCTCCTCTCTTCTCACCCATCCTGGACTCCAGTTCTGTCTGACCTCCATCCAGGCTGCTGGCTCCCAGCCTATCCTTCCCACCTGAACTCGACTCCCTACCCATCCTGGAGAGACCCTCTGGCCCCTTCCCAGATCCTGGCTGGAACTGTCTCCCGTTTGCTCCGAGCACCTGCTCATTTCTCTGCCTAGTTTGTCTATTTCTGGAACAAAGATGTTGAGAAAGGCAGAGAGAAGAGGCCAATTTCTCTTTCTCAGGAGATCCTAGAGGGCAGGGGCTGGGTCTCCCCCATCAGATTGGGGGCTCCCAGAAGGCAGCTGCTCCCTGGTGGCAGGGCCTTTCCCCTTGGCTCTGCTTCTCCCGTACTTCCTTGCCCAGCAGCCTGAGATGACAAGGAAGTCACTGTCCTGAACCTACAGATTGGATCAGGGAGGGGTGCCTCACCCATCTGATCCAGCCTGGCCCAACCCTTGAAAAAGTCCCTCCAGACCCGGCCCAGGTGGCTCAGTCGATTTGAATGTCATCCCGTACAACAAAAGGGTTGAGGGTTTGATCCCCAGTCAGGGCGCATACGAGGAGGCAACTGATCGATGTTTCTCACATTGATGTTTCTCTCCCTTCCTCTCTCTCTAAAATCTTCTTACCTAATAATAGACAAACATGTAAATTGACCGTACCTTCGCTAGGCTAACCAGCCAATCAGGAGAGTATGCAAATTAACCCAACAAAGATGGTGGTTAATTTGCATACGTAGGCTCCAAGCGGTGGAGCGAAGCCGGACAGCCCCGGGGCTGGAGCAGTGAAGCCGGATGGCTCCAGGGCCGGCTCTGGCTGGAGCCCAGCCAGAGTGAAGGCCTGGGTCCCAGGTGCCAGAGGCAAATGGGTGCCAGCAGCCAAGGGAAGGGAAGGCCTATTGCACGAATCTGTCTCCTGCTCCCCCAGGCTCCTGGGCAGTGACAGTGCAGTGGGCACACCAGGCAGGCTGCTTGGTGGGAAGCACAGGCTACTTGGCTCAGGGACTTCTCCCCTCCTGAGTCCCCAGCTGCAGGATGAGGCAGGGCACTCCCCAGCCCCGCCCTTACCTCCCAGGCCTTCCCCCTAAGGAGTCTAGCCTAGGGCTCCATTTCCTGGAGCACCTGGGTTGACAGGAGCCCACAACCGGGTTACCATACCCATATTCTAGATGCCAAAACTGAGGCTCAGAGAGGAGGACCAGAGGTCCCTACCCCCAGCCCACCTCCCCCTCAACTCAGCCCAGCTCACAGGTGGCTTCCCCAGCTGCCTCCCAGTTGCCATGGTGTCAGAGGAGGAGGAGGAGGAAGAGGAGATGGAGGGGCAGATTTCTGAGAAGCAATCCCAAAACACACACCAGCTGGCCCCTCCTTGCTCACTCCCTCTCTCCAATGTCAAAGCATCCATTTGTGCAACTGGGCCCGGGCCACTTCCTAGCCGGGAGCAAAGGAGGTCAAGAAGGCAGAGGGCCCAGGGAGTGGGTTCTGGGACCCCAACCTCAAACAGCAGATTTCCTGGACCCAGACTCCATTGCCTCCCACAGTTCCCAGACCAGGCCGGCTCTTTCCTGCCTCCCTGCCTTCCCGCATGCAGTTCCCTTCATCTGAAATGCCCTTCCTCAGCCTTCAGTCCCAGCCGGCTTTAACTCCACTGGAGAACCTTCCCTGAGTCCCCAGGGGCTCCCCCTGCATCCTGCACCCACCGCGGTCACAGCCATTTTCTTGATGATGCTCTCCCAGGGCGGTGAGGTCTTGGGGATGCTAGCTTTGCCTTTGTACCCCAGTGCCTGGCACAGACAGGTCCTCAGTAAAGCAAGAAGGAAGGAGGGAGGGAAGGAGAAAGGGAGAAAGGGAGGGAGGGAGGGAGGAAAGAAACACCTCTAGTGTGATCGGAGAGGATCTGGACCATGAGCATCGGGCACAGGGCTGGGCACGGAGCAAAGCCCAGTCCCTTCCTGCCGCCTCCACTTGAGCCTGGGCTCCAGCACCTTCTGCCTCACCCCATTTGGACTGGCTCAGGGGTCCTCTCTACACCCACAGGCCTGTGTCTGTTGTCCCTTTGGAGGCGAGGTAATCACATCAGGATGCAGGCGTGCACTTGACTTCACTAGGAGCTCCGTGTGTTGGGGAGAATTGGGAGAAAGGCCTCCATTCTCCGAAATCCAGGGCCAGGCAAGCTTGCAAGGGCCTGAGGGCTGACCTTGAGCAGGGACTTCAAATGGTTTCCACACTGAGTACTTTCTGCAAACAATGCCTTACCTGATGGCCGTGACATGAAACAGATGGAAGCTAAGCTACTTGGGGAGAAGTGGTGCATGTTGAGGGCGCCTGGGAGCTGGGGGTTGGGGTTGGTCCTGGCGGTGGGATGGGGCAGCAGGAGAGAGAGAGAGAGAGAGAGAGAGAGAGAGAGCGAGCCCTGGGTTGAGTCCAGTGGCTGACATTTACTAACTGGTACAGAAGGGCTTCAATATTTTCAGAACTGTGTGTTCATGCCAGTGTGGCTGGGCCAACGAACTCATCTTTCACAGCAAGAAGTCAGTCTATACAAACAAAAATGAAAATATGTCCTCGGGAAAAATCATGACTTCAATCTTTAATGTTCTCAGTTTCTTTTCTTTTTTTAAAAATCTTGAATGGATACTTTAGGGGAAGTATCTCTTGTCCAGAGGAAATATTGATATGAATTCAGCAATTCCATCAACTTATCTTTCTTTTTCTTTTGTGAAATTCAAGTAAAATTAAATTTAAAATTGTATACGGAAAAAAAAAACAAACCAAAAACAAAGCCCAAGGAATTCAGGGCATAGCTGAGACCTGAGAAGAGAAAGCCTGGGGGGAGCCCAGGGCCCAGAGTGGCTTTGAAGCTCCCAGAACCCAAGGGCAATTCCATGCCTCTGCGTGGCAGGAAGAGCCAAGTTACAGGGACCCACATGGGAGGAACTGGCAGAAATCTGGCCAGAGACAGGAAGAGCGAGAGATGCAGAGGGAGAGACTGCGGGAAGGAGATCGGGGAGAAAGTCAGTGGGAGGGAGGGGAAGGAGACCCACACCAGAGAGGAGTGGAGGAGGGGGAAAGAAAGGGCCCCAGGGGTGCGGGGTCAGAGGAGAGGGGGTCTGCTGGTCAGTGTTATGGGTTGGCTCAACGAGATAGACCACCGACTCAGAAT